AATGCAAAGAAACCATCTCGAATCAAAAAGACGATTCAGTTCGCAATGATAATTCCGATGACATCCAAAATCCAAAGCCTACTAATGGCAACGATTCTGGTGATAATTCTAAGGATGCGCAAAATTCTGATTCTCTAATACTTGATAAAGACAAACATGAAGACCATGAAAAAGCAGAAGCTCTCATTATCGTTGGAGAATCAACCATTCCTGATAAATGCAAAGAAACCATCTCGAATCAAAAAGACGATTCAGTTCGCAATGATAATTCCGATGACATCCAAAATCCAAAGGCTACTAACGGCAACGATTCTGGTGATAATTCTAAGGATGCGCAAAATTCTGTTTCTCTTATATTTGATAAAGACAAACATGAAGACTATGTTATCATTGAAGAATCAACCACTCCCGACAAATGCAAAGAAACCATCTCGAATCAAAAAAATGATGGTTGTATTGAATTAAGCGATTCAGTTCGCAATGATAGTTCTAACGATACGCAAAATTTAAACCTTACTCGTGGCAATAATGTATTTAATATTGCGCAAAGTTCTGATTCTCTTACATTTGATAAAGACAAACATGAAGACTATGTTATCGTTGAAGAATCTGCCACTCCCGACAAATGCAAAGAAATCGTCTCTAAACAAAAAGATGACGATTGTATTGAATCAAGCGATTCAGTTCGCAATGATAATTTTAATGATACGCAAAATTTAAAATTTACTATTGGCAATAATGTATTTAATACTTCAAAGTCTACTAGTGATAAAAATTATACTAATGTCAAGCAGGATCAAGGCTCTACTATTGTCAACGGTGATTTCAACAATAGTTCAAAAAATGTACAAAATTCAACTTTTAATACTAAGAACTCAAGGCCTACCAGTGACAGCGATAATCTTAACGATAAAGAAGATCATGATTATATAAATACTACTCTTAGCATCAATGCCTTTAATACCACGCAAACCTCAAGCACTATTGTTAAGCAAGATCAAGGTTCTACTATTATCAACGGAGGTAGTTTCCAAGATACACAAAATTCGACTTATAATACTAAGCAAACTTCAAGGTTTACTAGTAACAACGATAATCTTAACACCAAAGAAGAACAAGATTCTATTAATTCAACTTTTGACAACAATATCTCTAATACTACGCAAAATTCAAGGTCTATTAGTGATAATGATAATTCTAACTCCAAGCAAGTTCTTGGTTATGCCAATTTTGTAGATTCAAATCCTACTCCTAATACTAAGCAAAACTTGAGATCTACTAATGACAGCAATGATCCTTACGCTAAGCAAGATCAAGCTTCTATTATTACCAACAATGATTCAAACAATAGTTTCAAACAAGATTTAAGTTCTATTCTTGACAACTATGCTTCTAATGATAAACAAAATTTATGGTCTACTAGTGGCCACGATAGTCTTAACGTCAGAAAAATCAACGATGATTTGAAAGTAGAAAAAATTAAATCGATTCGTTCATCAAAAACTATTAGCATTTTAGTTGCTGTCATTGCTATTATTTTTGGATTTGCATTTTACTATGGAGTAAGTTTGTTAATACTGTTTTTTTTTTTTATGCACATGTTTATGTGGCATTCATTCATTCATTATTTGTACCTTTTGAAAATTAGCCAATATTTGATATGTCCCTTCCGGTGAGATTTAATTTGTTACTTTAAAGTTTAGATTTAGCTTATGATTTAGCGCGGAATTTAACTTTTATTATTATATACAGCCTGTTGACTCGCCTATATTTAGAGACCTTATAAATACCACTAATTTGCTTTCTGGACAACTCACTGAGCTTAATATACCAGGTACAGAATTTTTAATTATTTCTGGATAAGAAAAAATCTTTATCAGAAAGTATTGATAACAATAATTTTATAAAATAGCATCCTCCGTGATAATGGGATATCGAGTAACAAGTAAAAATCTCGCCGACATTATAAACCGGAATAAATTATCTTCTAAAAATTCTGATAAGGTAGCACAATACCTCAATCAGCTTGGGGATAAAATAAGTAACTCTGGAGAGGCCATCGAAAAAATGTATTCCACTGGTAATCATGCTCTTAAAGAAATTTCATCAGAACTGAGATTCATCAATGACGAAATTTCCCAGGAACAAGTTATTACAAGGCAGGATGCAGAATACTTTGCTGAACGTTACGGAAAGATTTTAAATGCCATCACAAAGTTACGAGATGAATTCCGAATAACTTTAAATGAACTTGATGATCTTTATGATTTATATATTGGGACGCACCACCAACTTGCAAATGGAATGAAAGATGTAGAACTTTTTTTTGACGAAGTTACACCAGAGTTGAAGAAGCTCTATAATATAGAAAAATTAAAACGAAATCTCAGTTATTTAAAACAGATTATGAAGAAAATTCCTGACATTCGGGATCGTATTAATAAACTTTTATTTGAGTTCAATAAACATCGATTGGTATTAATTGGGTATCGCAGTGAATGGAATAGATTTCAGAGACGAAAACTAGTTTCTTTTGAAGATACTGAGAGGATAGAGGAAATGATTCAGAAATTAACTTATGTAATTAAAATCTTTGCAAAGAAAGATTTAGAAACTACTGAAAAACGAATTTACATATAAAATAACATATATGATTATATATACTGTAGTATTATGTTATAAAAAAAAAGACGGCACAAACAATAATGCCGTTAGTTAACATTAAAATTATTAAATCAACATTGTAAATAATGATTTATTCGAGATAATTGAGATTAATAAAATATATTAAAATATTATTATCTCAAGTTTCATTTGTGCAATTTCTAATTAAACTTTGAATTTGCTTGATATCACCCTTGATACGTATATAATATTGGATTAAAATACTGTATACTATTATTTATAATCTATTACATACTTCTTTTTTTTTTTAGAGCAAATGTTAATTTATTGTTATAGTACTGTAGTAAAGATTTTACATTACACTTACGAAGTTTTTTTATATATGAATTTATGTCAAAAAACATAGTTTTAATTCGATGTTATTAAAATAATAATAAACTGCCGCTTAATTATAGGTATCTTTCACTTTGATTTTTAATAAGCAAAAATACAATTTCCATAAACTACCAATCAAATGTCCATATTTACCCGTCAACCATGTATAAGTTGTCGCTAAGAAATATCCACCGAGAAGAAGATAAAAATAAATAAATTCGGAAAATTCTTATAATATTATAACATTAACTACTTTAAACATACTATAAACGAGAACAATTACAAGCTTGTTTTACCTTTTACAATTATTGTTTCTTTTATAGCATTATTTATGACCCCATCAAGTTATTGCATTTATGAATTCAGAAATATATATATATAGATTATACAAAAATACGGACTTTGAATCAATATACGGATTGCAGATTAATAACTAATCTACGGTTGAATATATTCATGTGTATTCGACAAAATGTACTAATATATCCTTGATAAGTATCAATAACTTAAAAAAAAAAAAATCATTGATATTATATACCAAAAAGAAGAATAATTTCAATATTATCACTTTGTATTGTAATTGTATCTGTAAAACAATTCATTGATTGCTCTGTTAATAAGTCTACTCTATCTTATAATGTAGGTTTATTTACTGGATATTTCTAAAATTTCGGGTGTAATGCATTAGAAATGAGTAACTATTAAGCAATACTAGCCAATCAAGTTTATAGCAAAATTATTGGTTGAGCATTTATTGTTTAATGAATATGCATGCAGGCAGACGTGAAAAATTTTCGGAAATACGTTTTTATGCGATAATATAAGTTAACCAATGAATTACTGTAATCAAAAACATAAAAATTTTTGATGTAACATTTGTATCACTTTGACTAAATATAAATCCAGTAAGCTCCGGACAAATTAATGTATTTATTATAAGTTTTTTTTTAAAAAAAAAAGAATAAATGGACTTTGAACAACTTTGTACACTTAGTTGCAATTATAAATATGGTATTGGTGTTGAGAAAGACGAAAAGAAGGTTTTCAAATATTTTAGGGAAGCAGCTGAGTTAGGAAATTCGGATGCAATGAATGATATTTTGAATGGGTTTATTATGGAATTAGAGTAATAATAAATTGCTGATTCGGACAATGTGTAATATTGGTGTTTGTTATGAATATGGAGAAGGGGTTGATCAAGATTATAATAAAGCATTTGAATACTATAAAAAATAAGCTAATATGGGTGTTGAAGCAGCAATGCGTAATGTTGCTAATTGTTATTGAAATGGTATTGGTATAGAAAGAGATATACAAAGTGCAAATTATTGGTACAGACAATATAAAAATCTTTTGAAAACTAATAAATTACTTGATCATATCAATCCTGAACTCAAGAGAATATTAGTCGATGATAGATTATCTTGGATTGATTACAGTGAGTTCAGAACTATCAAGGAACTGGGAAAGGAGGATTTACTGTACGACTATATATGGGCAACTTGGTTCAACAGAATTAATAAAATATTGAGTTATGTCGCACTTAAAGTGATTCATGATTCAAACAAAAATGAATAAGAATTTATGAAGAATTATTGTGAAATTGTTTACGAAAATCCTTCGTTCTTGAATGTATTGGAGTATCAAGAAATAATTTTGGTGATTATATTATTGTTTAACACATTGCACCAAAAGGTTCTTTATAATAAATATTGTACATATACCACAATTAGAATGGAAAGATAAATTAAATATTTTGTACGGTATAGCTTTGGATCTTGAGTCGATTCATTCTCAGGAATTCGTCCACAGAGATTTACACAGTGGAAACATTTTGCAAGGAGATAATCTTTGTGCTGCATACATTACTGATTGTGGACTTTCTAAAAAAGTAAAAGAAGGAGTGCCTGAGATTTTTGGGGTCACCGTATACTCAAGCATCAGATATTTACAGTCTTGGAGTTATCGCGACAGAGATTTCAACCGGACAAAGAGCACTTGATGGAATTCCGTTTAATGGTGACCTTGTATCCAAATTTATTAGTGGATCAAAAATTATAAATTAAATTAGCTATGAAGTGTATGGATAAAGAATTTAATCAACGATCTACTGCAACAGAAAATTATTGAAATAATTACTCATTGGATCAAAATAATAATGAAATCAAAAAACAATTTTCGGAGCTAATAAGATTAAACCAAAGTTGATTAAACAAATACATTCACAAGATTTATACAGTAGAAATCGAGAGCAAATTCTCGAATTTAGATTAAATTAAATTACATAAAATATGTGTTTACCGTATAGTTCCGAAATTATGCATCACCCCTCTACCCCAATTTTTTGAATCTTAGATTAGCGGGAATAATTTGGCCAAAGTTCTTATTACAAATTCCGCTAATCTGAGATTCAAAAATTGGGGTAGAGGCAGGGACACGGAATTTATGCGATAAGAATTTGTAAATTATGCGTGCGGTATGTGTAATATATGCGATTTGCTGATGATTAAAATTTAAAAGTGCGATTTAGTGTTTTTTGCAAATTTTACTCGAAAAAAAAACTTTAGATTTTTTAAATACTGCGCTCAACTAACGAATTTTTTAATCGGAGAATAAATTTATACGCAATTTCTTAGTCGGAGAATATAAATATGATGTAAAATTATGCGATTTAGTGTGATTTGGTTTAATCACACTAAATCACGTGTCCCTGGGTAGAGGGGTAGTGCTTAATTTCGGAACTATACGGTATGTAACATACACTTAGGAATGTGCAATTATAGTAATTTTTTTACCAAAATTTTCTACAGGTCTACACCATAATATTGCAGATGTAAATATTTTTTCTCTACTTGTAAATTTAGATTATTATTCTTATTATTTTTGGTTTGTTTATTTTCTCGGAAGTAAGAAATCTTTGAATCAATTTAACTTTTTTTGAATCAGCCTCAAGCATCTTTTGAAAATTTTATTTACATTTAAATTTATAAAAATATAAATCTTGAATTTAAAAATTACGGCGGATTTGTAAAATACCCCAAAATTTGAAAATTTTGACCACTGATTGTGAGTCCTTTAATTGACTTCACATATATGTAATGTTATTATTCTGATCTAACGATGTCTACTTTTTAAATTTCCTGTTGTCCATAAAATAATGTAAATGTTAACTGACGGTTATTCGTACATATATGCAACGATAAATTTAAAATGGGTTATCTGAATTGTACAAAAATTTTAAAATGGGTTGCGGGTTAGGCGCATTGTTATTATAGATCGGAGTGCTAAAAATTTTTTTAGTAGGGGTTCATTCTTAAAAAATAAATATTAAAATTTGCCCCAAAACTTAAATTTGAGAACCAAAAATTAGTTAAATTTGACCGTAATAAAATGAATGAGGAATACCAATAAGCTAATCAATTTAACAATGCAAATTTAATAAGAATATTGGTTTAACTTAGTATCGAAATTATATATGTATTAGAAAGTTATGATATCTACATATTTAATTCTAGACCAAAATTATGCTAAAAAGTTCTTTGTTGCTTGAAAATTGGTATTCGAATCTATTGTAACAGTTGCCAGTCATACTAAGCATACTAACCAATCCTAAACGCCAGTGTATTTCAAGAAACAGTAAAATTATTTCCTCTACAGAGTTGAAATTATTACTTATCGAAAATTTAATAATGCAATGTATTAGTCATTTATAAAGATGTCTATTTATATTGTAACTAATATCAAATGTCGTTTAAAATTTTTTTTCGTATATTTCATAAAAATTAATTAATGGAAACCAATTGTTCACCCCATTCGAATTCATTTTGTTGTTTGTCTATCAAACAACAAAGCAAATTTATGAAATTCCAAGAGCAGAATATGAGTAATTTTCATGAAATGCAAGAAAATGCTATAGAGCCTAAAAATCTCGATTTAGTTTATAAAAAAACTTGTGGATAATATTGAAACAGAGAGTACACGAATAGATCTTAATGCAATTATGAGTCTTCAAATCGAATCGACAAATTAAAAAACAGTATTTCATAAGCAGCATAATCACAAACGGACGAAAAGTATAATATTTACTTATTGGTGCAATTGCTGCAAAAAGAGGCGAAAGTTTTAGATAGTTCTAAGCAACGTAATACAGGGTCACGATTAGATCGTTATTGAAGGTGCTATTCTTTTTTAGGATCGATTTACAAAATAAGATCATATTTACCTGCATTCGCGACCAGAACATATAAGCAGTATTAATGAAATTAAGATATATATTAAAAAAAACTTTGTATATTCTGCATCTGAGTTATATAAACAAATTTTATATTATTGGTGGAATGAAATATTGTAGAAGATGACGAGTCAAGTGAAGATGAAACGAATTGGGAACTAAAGATCAATACAAAAAACTCTTTATTATATAGTTTATATGAGCAGGTCTATTGGTTGTGATATTTCTATCAAATTTGAAACTAACGAAATTAAAAACATAAATGATAAGAATAACTAGAACCTGCTCATGTCGCTACGCTTAATATATAACAAGCAATTAACCGATCATGTACATTTATCCCAGCGTAGAAGATCGACTGAGGCCTGTGTTATTATTATTTTACATAGCAATTCAGCTGATTGGTTTT